CCCCCGTCCCCCGTCCCGACAAATTAACAGTAATTACAGGTCCGAACCTTCCCCCCTCACCAACATTTTTAATTAAGCTTTGACTGCTTATATAGTTATTAACAGTCGGTGGACGCACGCGGCTGAATAAAAGGGGCAGAAGATCAGAGCTGAGGGACGTTTGTCCTTTCATGGCCGTCAAAGCGCATTAAATCCCTGCTTCTGCCTGCATTCTGCATCATTCAGACACGGACCCTGCTCTGACATGTTGGGATGCATCGATCCACTTTTTCAACTTCCGATACCGATATCTGAGGTTTGGCGCAGGTCTATACCGATCAGATACAGAAAACAGGGTGAAATCTTTGGAGATGCTTGATTAAGTTAGTAGTGTTATAACTGGAAGTTTTAGTGACACCCCCTGGAACCGTCGCTGTGCACGTATTGCACGTAGCTGTCGATTGTGTTTGCTGAGGTAATGTGAAATGGTTCCAGATGGCTGATTCTTTTGCTCGCTCCATTTTGAAACCAATCTGCGGTGAGTTCCCTAGCGCATGACGTCACTCAGAGCACAAAGCATAGAATTAGAGTGAATAGATCTGCCCAGTCATGGATCGGTCACATGGTCACGATACCAGATCCAGAAGTTTTTTCCGATATCGAGCCCATACCGATATCTGTATCGGATCGGTGCATCTCTACTGACATGTCTGATTTGGGATCTCACCTGTTGGGGTCATCAGCCACGTGTCCGCTGAGTGTAGCGGCTGAACGTCCATTTGGGCGATGGATCACTTCCTGAAAGTATAGTCCGATCTGAACTTTATTTTACCTCTTTCGAGGTCGGTCAGCTCGCGGTCTAATTGCCACGTGCGGCTGATGAATTTATGGCAAGCCATGTTGCCATATAATTGGAAGTATGGCAAGTCACGTTGCCATCTAATTGGATCGCCAGCCGCATGCGTCAGCTGACGCAATCAAAAGCCCGACACCGACCCAGCCCGCCCATCCAGCACATTATAACAGCCCAGCTCAAATTCGGGTTAGAAATGACAGCCCTACACTGGCTGCCATCCAAGAAACTGGCACCAAAAAATACAAGTCTGACTATATAACAGCAAGCTAAAAATAAAAAGGCTAATTGGGGTGGGGGGAATACTGTATGGATTAAAGTTTTACAGTAAAATGAGACAAACTTTTTGAGGTCAAAGTGGCTAAAAGTGTGGGTGTAAAAGCATGACCGAGCAAAACATACCTTTTGATAAGCATGGGGGTGGTAACATCATGCTGTGTGGCTGTTTTGTTGCCAGTATGAAAAGAAACTCATAAATAAACTGCCACTTCTGCCAAGCAGGAATTGCTAATAGCCACAAAGTGTAACGTCTTCCCACATTTTTGAGCCTGTTTAAATGTAGTTTATTTATTTAGAAAAACTTGTTAAACTTTCCCAACATATCTTTTGACCTATTTTTTTTAGTTTTGAAGAAGTTGGTTGTACTATAATCTGCCCCAGAAACAGAGCAGTTCAATGAAAACACTCAAAGCCCAGATTTCTCCGAACATCCCTATTCGTAATGAGACTGTTAACTCAGAACTGTGCGGTTAAAAGAACACGAGCCTTTATTAATTTCGTTTTTGTTCCATTAATTGTCTGATTTGTTGGAGAAAGTTGTGTTTGAGGTACTATGTGTTTTGTTTGCAGACTTGCTGCAGAGCGTCTGTCCAGAGAGTTAGCGGAGTCCCGTCTGCACCTTAAAGAAGATCAGCTGGCTCATCTTCAGGAAGAGCTGAGGAGGGTTTCAGAAAACGTACCCCAGTCGGACTCGTTTCAGACGGTATGCAGGATGTGAAACAACAGACAAACCCACCAACGCACTTCTGCGTGACCCTGACTCGATGCATCGCTTCTTTCCCTGCAGGACGTGATGAACCTGCAGGCGCAGCTAGCCGAGGCCACCATGCTTCACCAGCGCCAGGAGGAGGTGCTCCACCAGCGAGAGCGGGAGCTAACGGCTCTGAAGGGGGTGCTGAAAGAGGAGGTGGAGTGTCACGACAAAGAGATGGAGGCTCTGAGGGAGCAGTACAGCCAGGACATGGAGAACCTGAGGCAAGGCATGGAGCAGTTCACACAGGTGAATGTTCAGGTCACTGCACGGCCCATAAGTTTAGGCTCATGTTTAAAACAGAGAAGTTTCAGTTCAGCAGTTACACATCAAATATTCTGAAAACCAAAAACCCGAAGCAGTACTCGGAGTTCATCTTCCATCGTGACTGAGCCCCATCTCATAGTCTGGAGGTGATCTACTTAATTTAATTGCTCCTTTCTTTCTTCACCCTTCACTTCTTCCACACGTCTCAGAGCAGTCTACGTGCTACTTAGAAACTCTGTTTCAAAGGAATTACATTTGCTAACAGCTGATCTGTGTTTGTTACTTCAGGCTTGTATTGTTAAAAAGAAAGCTTAAACAGAATCAGAGATAAAAGGACAAAATAACAGAACAGCTGGGAAAAATCTTTAGAGAACTTAAATGATTTAATTATGGGGAGGGGGACTGGTAGTGCTCAACAAGAATGATGATTAAACGTTATTAAAGGAATACTTCAGATTTTGTAAGTTGAGGTTATATGGAGAAGATATAACCATTTAATATCTTACCTGCTGTAAATGGCTCTTTGATCAGCCTCAATTTGGAGAAATGGTTTAAAGCTACGCACTCAAAGTTATGAGGATCAGTTAAAACAGAAATTCATACAGCGAAAAACAAAATCTGCGTAATTTTTTTAAAAGGTTAATGTGTTTAATAAACATTTGTAAGTAATTGCCAACTATCATATATGTTTGTTTACCTACAAAAAATAGCCAAAGTGATTGAAAACGGGTGAACAATGGTGGCATTCAATATAAAGAGCTGTTTGGGATGGAGAAGTATGTCAGTTTTGATGTGTTGGTTGCGTTACATGCAGATGAGTGTTTTGTTTATGTTGACCCATATTTCAGAATTGCATATCGTATATCTGAAAAACTGCTTGAGTGATTTTTTTTTTTTCCCCAAATGAACCATTTGATATAGTTCAAGAAGATTTTATAGTTTACATACATTTCTTAAATCTTACAAACTAAGGCCAAGATCAAAGACGATGCATGCTTCTTCTTTTTTTTAATAACTCTTTACACTACTGTTTGTCATTTAGAATTCTGTAATCATTTTCAAGTGCAAATAGGGGCGGCAGCAGCTAGCTGTAGCACCTCTGATTGTTCCAGTGGCAGTTTAAGCAACAATATCATTATATTTCTGCTGTAACTAGAGTTTATTGTCAAACTGATGGCAGTCTTAAGTGGGTGTATAAACTCCTACGAGATTTTTTAGCTTGTTTTTTTTTTTTTTTTTTTAAAGATGGCAGCCCACTTTGGTCTCGTTCAAGCTAGCTGTTAGCTCATCAATCAGGATAGAATGAAACGTTTATTTATCCAAACAGAGGTTGTTTAAGATCCATCTACAGCAGGTAAGATATTGATAAATGTTTTTCTGTTCCAAGTTTGAGCAGTTGGGATCACTGGTACCTCAGTGTTCGACTACATGCCCCAACATATTTTCTGTTGGTCTGATTTTCTTTCTCCCCATAAAGTAGGTTTTAAGAGTTCTTCATTTTGCAGCATAGTTACACTTTTTGTGCTTCAGAGTGTCGAGCAGCTCGTTTAGATCACAAACTGAGGCTGCGAATGGGGGAAAAAACGATGCTCAACGACTGGTACTTATGCTCAGCGGTCAGAAGTTCTTTCTTTTTGTTTTGGTTAAAAATAGTAAATTGTCTTTTGAAAAGGCTGCAATGCAGAGACCAAATGAATATTTTACAGATTCTGGTCTCTGGAGGGATCTGTTGGTGGGGGTTTTGTTACGCAGAGTTTAGATATAAACCGTTTGGATATGTGCAGAGATGTCAGGTTGTTCTCCCTGTCAGGCAGTTTGGGCTTGCGTGACTCATTAAAGTGATATTAACCCAGACTTTGATGTTGCATCTGCCTGTTAGACATCCAGGCTTTGTCTTGTCATTCTCTTTCATGTTTCATGAGCACATTTAAACTCTGAGTATAAATATACCACAAGGTCAGAGAGAGACGGAAAAGAAAACTTTTTTTCTGGTTCCGAAAGCAATAATAAAAAAAAAAAACTTTCCTAGTTGAATATCTTTTGTAAAGTTTTCTCCATCTACTGGTGGGATATTTTTGGAGTACTGCATGGATACAGAGGAAATTTAAGAGTATGTACAGGAATAGATCTTTATACAGGCTGTAGAGCTGCTGAAGTGTCAAAATAGCAACCCGAGAGCAGAAAAATGTTATTAAAAAAGAAAAGTAGGAAAGTTTCAGCCTGAGAGCAGAAAGTCAGAAAAGCAGACTCGGCTGCTTTTGATGAGGTGATTTCTTTGGAGGAAGGAAGATAAAAGTATTTGGACTGCAGTTAGTAATGACGGCATCACGTATCAGGTTGAGTTGAAAGTTTGTTTCATTTTTCACGTACCGTAGAAATATTTTTCAAAGGCGGGGTGCATTCTGCATAGGCTTTTTCTTCTCTCGAGTTGTCAAAACGAACCATTTAAAAGAAAATGATTGATTCTTTGGTGTTAAAATACAAAGGAAAGTTATTAACACCGAGAAATTACATTTTCTGTGAAAATATTCTGAGTGCTGGGTAACTGCTAATAAAATTAAAACTGACTAGTTAGGCTAAAAGAAGCAGAACACTAGCTAAAAGCTAAAATAGGCAAACTACTAAGATATAAAATATAAGAAGATAAATGATAAATGGGCAAAACACTAGCTGAAACCTAAGAGTAGTAATTTCATAAAAATTAAAGTAGCAGTAGGCTAACTAAAAGCTAATAGAAGATAAAAATGGTAAAAGGTATGTTAAAATTATCTAAAGCTAGCTAAAACCAAAAGTAGCAATAAAACCAACTAAAAGCTAAAGATAGCAAAAACTAGCTAAAAAAAGTATCGAAAATCTAGCTTAAAGTAGCAGGTTGGTAGCCAAACATCACAAAAAGCTTGCAAAAAGTAGCAAAACCGTAGCTAAAAAATAAAAGTAGTATAACATGATGAAAACAAAGCAAATATTCTGAACAATGTTTAGACAGAATTGAAGAGATTTAACTATTTTTCTATAAATAAAATACTTAATATAAAATGGAAGATATTAATAATTTTAAATAAAGGTAAATATTTTGAAAATACTATACAGTAGTCTCTCGTTTATCGTGGGGGTTCCATCACCAGCCCCCCTGCGGTAAGTGAAAAACCGTGAAATAGGAGTAAAAGTAGTAGTAGTAAGTAGTAATTTATTTTAGTTTTTTATATATATATATATATATATATATGGTGTTAAACCCTTCTCACATTCTTGCAATATTCTAAACAATGTTTCTAAACTCTGAGCTCTTTAAAAGAGCACATGTCTTGATCTCCTCTCTCTGCCACCTGCCAGTGCTCTCGGCCACGCCCACTTCTTCACTGCAATCGCTGGCAGGTGGCAGAGAGCGGAGATCATGACATGCTGCAGGAGGGAGCTTCTCCCTGCACCTCTGTGCTGCACACAGGTGCAGCAGTTGTTATATAATTTAAAATAATTTATTTAAAATAATCAATGCCACTTGTGCAGCTCATCCATCAATCAGCCGGTTGTGTGTCATGTCCAGTCTTACTTTGAAAAACCGCGAAAGAGTGCGTCTGCAAAAGTCGAACCGCGAAGTAGCGATGGACTACTGTACTAAAATCAAAAGTTGTAATTACCGTTTTGATGTTTGAACAACTAAATAAGCACAAGTGTGCTGAAACAGATTGCCAAAAACATACAGAAAAATAAAAAATAAAACCTGGAAAACAACCGTGTGAATGCTGTACACTGATCCAAAATGCATCCTCTGGTAAGTTTGATCTAAAAATTGTGTGTGTTCAGTCCCAGGAGCTGATAGAAGAGGAGCGGAAAAAGGTGAACAACTCTCTGCTGACGCTTGAGGCTGAGCTGGAGAGCTGCAGAGACCAGGGGGACCAGTGGAGGATGGATCTGGAGACGACCAGAGAAGAGTTAGTATCTGAATCCTGATGAAACAGATACTCTGACGTTAAGACACATCTGTTAGGTTAACATGAACATATCACACGTTAGCATTCTGCCACCAACATGGCAGGAGTATTTTTTCTGATAAGAAACCAGTTTCTACTTTGAGTTTTTTTTTTAATCACTGTTGCAACAGAAACCAGCTAAATTGATCAGTTTTGATCCAATCTTTGACCAAACTTTGTGTTTTATTCATGATTTGATTTGCAGTCAGGAACATAAGTCAAAGTATAAGCCGCTCTCTGAAAGCGTTTGAGAAACACGAGAACCATCTTCGGTTCCAACCTGTAATTTTTCTTTTGCTCAGGAGTTCTTTTTGACGTTTGAACACTTGATTTTTTTCTTTTATTCGGCAGGAATGAGGAACACTTCAGCATCCGAGCGTGAGAAAAAAAATAAATAAATAAATAAACCATCAATCCTACCCTGTTTTGGTTGGAGTAGATGTAGCCAGGTTTTGATCAGAACCTGTTCTCTGAAAATCCACCTCGTGTCAGAGTGGATTTGAAGAAGTCTGCTTTGATCAGTGAACCCTCACTAACAACAATCCAGTCATAAGAAACCCAATTGTCGTGTTTTATGTAGAAATCTACATTCCAAAATGACTTGAACTGATTTAATGTCGTCCATCACTAATCAAGTTGCTATTTTTTAGACTTTTTTCCTGATTTAATAACGTTTTGATATTTTAATTTTAGATGAAATCATAGTCAAGGTTTTGTGCTTGACTAAAAGTCAGGCTTTGGATGTGGTACTGTTGATGCGGGTTCAGGGTTCTGTTTAGTAGCATTGAGTAATTTTATTACAAATGGCCACAACATTAAAACCATCCCTCCATCTGTCCACTTACATAATTTGTTTCAGTCTATAGAATAGGGGTTCCAAAAGGATGGGCAGAGGTCCAGATCTGGACTGAAATGAAGACTTATCTGGACCCAGACTGGTTGTCAAATTTTACTAGGATGAACATTTTTTATTATTATTGCTTACACATATTTATATAGTTGTGACTGTTCTTTTCCAGACTTGTAGGCAGCCCATTGACAGAGTCAACCAGATTCAAGATGGCTGCCATAGCTAATCAACATTGGCAAACACAATGATGGTTATAACTCAGCCAGTTGTACAAATACTGAGCTAATGTTTGGTGTGGTAGTAGCGGAGACTCATTTCCAACACACACTACTACACATTGTGCAGTATTTTTGTTTGAAATGTTTAGCATTAATCCTAAATGTCTGTTAGCAAAATATTTTATTAACCCCAGGAAAGATTTCAAGAAAATGTTCTGGAAGTATTAAAATGTACATCCAGCACTTTTGGAGTCAACTCCTTTTAAGTTGGCTGCCACAGCTGATCTACATTAGCCAACACAAGAGTTATCAGAGTCAGAGTCAGAGTTTCTTTATTGTCATTCGCACCTCATGTGGTACATGTGGTGGAGCGAAATTATGTACACAGGGTCCCAGTTACATCCAACAATAAAATGT